CCGTGATGGACTGAAGGGGGTGTGAGGCAGGAAGGAAGGGGCCTGACCTTCAGTGAAACCCTGGCCCTGCTGCAGTTGTGCCAGTTCTCTGACACCCCACACACTCGTTTTATCGTCTGTCAATGTAAAGGGTCTGGCAGCCCCTGGCCATCTGCCCGTGCCCAGAAGGCAGCAACACAGCCTCCCACTTCTGGGACGTCCTGATCTCCCAGGCCTGAGGTCCCTGTGCTGTGAGTCCCGGGTCTGGTCTTCTTTCTCCCACAGGCAATCCACTGTGATCTCTACTGGGCACAAGCCCTGGGCCAGCACCTCAAGGTGACCTTCCTGTGCGGGTTAGGGACGGGCCACACGTGCTGCTGGCTGGTTCGAGGAAGGTCAGAGGCCGAGACATGAAGACTGTCATGGGCAACAGGACTCGCGTGCATGTGGGGCACTCAGAGAATCCCAGACCCCAGCTTCCTTGCTAGGGAACCAGCAGCACTTTTCAAAGTTGAACATAGGCTGGAGAATAAGCAATTTTCTGAATCACTGGTGGTCTTTTTCCCTCACAAGAGTTTCCTTCTGCTAGGCTACTATTTCAGTTCTAAACCCAACAGTGTGATGTTTTGGTCTTAACTTTCTATATTTTTTCACATGTGCAACCAGATTTTCAGACTTCCCGGCTCTGTCCGGTTGATTCTGGCAGCAGAGCCATGCAGATGTCGGTGGCTCCTGCTGTTCGTGCGTCTGCTGCTTCCCTTTCATGGGTCCTCACGGGGGCGTAACTTCTGGTCAAGGATTCTGCCTTCCTGGGCGAGGAGGACCAGGGCAGGAGAGACACAGGGCGCTGGACATATGTGCGTCGCTGCTGTCCTCCTCTGTCCACCTCCGTAGTAGCCTCAGGAGCTGGGCCGCAGCCGCACCCTAAGGGAGAAATGCGGGGAAGGAGCCCGAGCAGCAGAGGAGCAGGAGGAGGAGGAGAGAGAAGGGGTCTGGGGCTTGTTCCCGCTCTTTCCTCCTGTTCGGAAGTCTGCAGGTCTTGAGGCCTGGCGCCGAGGCCCCGGTGCCCGCTGGCAGCAAAGTCTCCTTTGGGGTTTCCAGTGTCTCGGGAGCCACTGGTGTGGTGGCACATGGGGTGCTTCCTGCTGACCTCTGCCACTCTGACCCTCTCGGGCACACTGGCCCCTCGGCTGTGTGGGGAGGTATCCGGGTCTGTAGGTCGTTCTCCAGGACGGGGGAGCCTCCCTGAAGGGGTCGGACTGAGTGTGCGTCCCGAGGACACCCTGTCTGTGCCACCACAGCATCCACAAGGGTGGGACGTGGGCAGGCGTGGCCCGCAGCCTGGCCGGGGCCCTGTCCTATGGCACTCCTGCCCCAGTCTTCTGCCTGAGATTCCTCAGTGACAACCAGTCTGCGTTTACACCGAGAAAGAAACAAGCGTCGTGTGCACTCTCACCCTGTCACAGGGGACACGAAGCCCTGTGCTCCCTCACCTGGGGTAGGGTTAGGACAGCCTGCGGGTCATAGGTGAGATGCCTGGACCCCTGTTTAGGGAGTGGAACATTCTTCCAGGAGTCTCTCCCGGGGGCCACACCTGGCCCAGTGTGGACCTGGGGACACCCTGGAAACCTGTGGATTTGGTGAGGGGAGGGAGCCTGAGTCCCGCCTTGCCGCCTCGGGTCTCCCACCTGCCCGTTTATTCCCCAGGCCCCGATCGCTCCACCTCCACCTCCACCTCACACCCCTGCCCTGACGCGGCCCACCTGGTCAGCTTTGTAAGTGTGGCAGCAGGGAGAAGGGTACAGGGGAGGGAAAGCAAGGACAATGATCTGGGGCTCATGTGGAAGTGGGGGAAATGGAGCGAGGTGTCTGGAGACCCAGCAGGAGGAGGAGAGGCCCCAGCGCAGCACCTAAGCACCCCCAGGCTGGGCCTGACCCTTCTCCCTCCACACCAACAGGCTGTTGGGGTCCTAAGTGGTCCTCAGCTCTCGCTCAGGTCAGAGCCCACTGGGCAGGTGAGTGGGGGCCTAGAACAGGCGTGGTGCTTCCTCTGGGACCCTGGAATCAGGAGCCCTCTGCTGACTCCATCCTTAATGAAGATCATCCTGCACTACCTGATGGGCTTTTACGGGACCGAGAACCAGCCGGAAGCCAGACAGGATGTCCTGTCACACGTCGTGTGGGAAACAACAACAAAGGGTAGGAGGGCCTGGGTCCACAGGGAAAGCCCAGAGGTGCCACCTGGGGTCAGTTGGTCTTCCCTGCTCTGCCACCGCTTCAGAGTCCAAGAGGGCCAGGTCCAAGCCAGCTTGGATCGTCACCCTCTCTCCTGGAAACGTGGTCCAGACTTCACCCCTTCTCCTGTCTGGAGACTTCACTCCTTGAGCTGTGTCCGCCCAGCTCCCATTCCGGGGCAGGCAGTGCTGTGCGCCTGGGCCGCCGGCCAGCTTCCCTGTAACTTGGACGCGACCTTCCTTCCTGTGGCATCGTTTGTAAAGGGAAGAATCACAGCCATGCCCCAGAGCCACAGCTTGAGCTAAACCCTGCCACAGCCCCGCCGGGTGTTCCCACCAAGCCAGCATCTTGCAAGGCCACTGCACGGTTCTGGAAAGCCAGCTGCTTCAGGACGGCGGACCAGACAGCCCAGGAGCATGGTCAAGGCCACACTCCCCTGGCCGGCGGGGACTCCGTGGACAGGAGAAAGCAGCGTGGGAGACCACGACCAGGCACGTAAGTCCAAGGCCGGCCCGCGTCTGCAGGGTCTACTCGACCGTTAGTCTCACCTCAGTCACTCTGCTGAGCCACAGCCGCCTCCTCACCACGAGCGCCCGTGTGCTGCAGGTCCCCACTGGAAAGCGGCGCCCAGGCTCCGCAGGACTACACAGTGCATGTCCTCCAACTCCTCCCCACGGTCCTCCTCAGGACGTCCGTGCGGACACCCCAGCAGGCCCCTGTCCTCCACGTGCCACACCCACACCGAACACTCACCTTGCCCAAGGACAGGACGTCCGCGGACACCCCAGCAGGCCCCTGTCCTCCACGTGCCACACCCACACCGAACACTCACCTTGCCCAAGGCACTGGCCGCTCCCAGGCCTGAACACTCACTTCCGCCGCCCGAAAACCGCCTCGACGGTGCCCACTACAAGATGTGCTGCACAGGCCTAGCAGTGCCCGTCTGCTTTGGTTTCACTCCTGCTTCCAGGGGCAGAAGAAGCATCAACTCTGGCACACCACAAATGTCAGTGAATAAATAAATCACAGCAAGGCGCCTCCCTCTGAGAGTCACTATTTATTAAGGCAGCTGGAGCACAGCAGCCGCTCTCTGAGGTCAGGGCTGCCTGGGCTGTTCTCATACCTGGTGGCTGCCTCCCTGCCTCCTCCACAGCCCTCCCACACTCCACAGGACGCCGTTTCATCTAAGCGGGGCTTGCTGAGGCCGACTCCTGGGGGCTCCTGGGTGACTTTGGGGCCTACGCCCGGCCCCTCACGCTTCTTCTCTGCTACTCCTCCCTGCTCTGCTTCCCAGATGCGCCTTTGCCCCACCATCCCCTCTGCTGCTTCTGCCGTGGAGCCCGCAAGCAATGGGCTAAATCTCCTGAACCATGAGTCAAATTTACCAACTCCTCCCTTAAGATGCAGGGTCAGGTACTTCGCCCCAGAGACGGGAAAGCTAAGCAAAGCGGGGAGAAAAGGCAGGTGAGGAAGGAAGGATGGAAAGGAGAGGAATTTATCTAAGGTGAGAAACCACAGGATCCCCGATTCCACGATCCAGCTCATTTGAAAGCTGGGGGAAAGGGAAAAAACAGGAAACGCCTCACAGGAGGACAGGAGCTAAAGGGGTTTGAAGACTTGTCTCTCAATACCACAGGCTCCTGTGTGTGGAGGCCAGCCCAGCCCGGTAGGACAGTGACAGACAACAGCTCCTGCCGCTGTCAGGCACAGACGCCAGAGAATGAGACAGAAGTCGCTCGATAAAACCAGGATAGGCCGAATTCTCTACAGAAACTAAGACACCGGAAAGAAACACACAAGATGACAGCTGAGGAGGAGACCTGGCCACACACAGCCCTCTCCCTACCATCCTGGACACAGAAGGCCCAGGCTGTGTGCGGGTCCCTGTGGTCCCTGGTCCTGGTGAGACAAGGTCCTACTGAGGAACAAAGAACCAGTGAAGGTAACTGTTAGCACCTGTGTCTCAGTGTCTGCCCAAAGCCTCATCCTGATGAGGCGGAGCTTTCTTCTCCAGAGCTGGCTGAATCTGGAATGTGGGATTCCGCCCCGCCCTAACCCGGGTAGTCTGCGTGGGAGAAACCAGGCAGGATGATGCTGTTAAGGTCCCTCATGGCTGCTACTGTGTCCGCCATGAACTGTTGCCCTGCCCTGCTCTGGAGCCAGCCAATTATGGACTGAACCCTCTGTGAATCGTGAGCTAAAGAAACCCTCGTCCTTTAACTTTGGGAGTCGGGGATTTTCGTCTCAGCAAGGAGAGAAAAGTAACAATGCAGTGCCCTACTGAGAAGGGACTAAAGCACAAACCACACAGGGGTGAACACCAGCTGGCCACCGCCCTATGCACAGTGGACTCCTGTCAGTCCTCTCCCACCCCCGCCTGCCACAGACAGCACAGCAGAGACGTGGCTTCCAGAACACGCTCAGTACTTCCTGACTTCTTCCCCCAAGGTTTGGAATTATATAGCCTTTTTATTTTAAAGACAGCGTCTCACTATATGGTTCAGGCTGGCCTCAAACTCACAGCCATCCTCCTGCCTCAGCCTCCCAACTACTAGGATAACAGGCATGTGCCACCATGCCTGGCTTGGAGTTATAAGTCCTTTTTATGAACTGGTCAATCTCAGCTTATGGCAGAATTGGAAGAAATAAATTCATACTCAGATTTTTATTTTCAATACGGAACTAAGGAACTAAGCTCAGTGAAACATAACGTTACCCAAGAGATGGAGTGCAGGGAACAGGGAAAGGGAACATTCCTAGAACCTCGGCATCAGGTCCGAGTCTCCTGTGAGCCATGACAACACAAGGCCAACTAATTAATACACAGACAGAAAAGAGACTTAGAGAAGCTGAGCTTTGGCCCGATCAGTGCTGCCCTAGACAGCAAAGATGAAAGCCCCGAGCTTGCCACACCTTTACTGAGTACATCACAAAAAACAAGTGTAGTGGACGACTCAGGGCAGAGAGTGCAGTGCAGAGCAGAGCAGAGCAGCAAATGTAAAAGGTGACTCAAGGGCCGCAGGGGCGAAATCCTCGAATAGGGAGGAAGCGTGCAGCCGAAGACTTCGCGTGTCCCTCGATGTCTTCAGCTGGTGGGATCCCGGCCGGAGCGTCCGACAGCCTCGCTGGACCGCTGTGGTTTTAGCTGTGACTGGAGGCGAAGATGGAGCTTTGCCTTCATGTGCCATAGCCGGCCGACAGGCAGGACAACTAGGCCCTGCTCATAACTAAATTGTGAAATGATTTTCCCCAAAAATTGTGTAGAATTTCTCCCGAAAATGCAGACTTGTCAGCCTTGCTCTGCTGGTCAGAGTGGGAACGAAAGTCACTGTGGCTATAGTCTCCCGGCATGGGCTGCTCTCCCCATTGCTAGTACGAGTGGAGACCATTCAGAAACCTTTGCAGGAAGAGAATCAAGTGTCTTCAAAGACAAGGGCCCTGAATAATCGTCCATAACTCAGTCCCATACAAGGCAGCTGTATCACACTATGAAGCAAAAGAGTCGCGGACAAAGTCACGACAGTCACTGGAAGTGGCCACACCCCGACACCCCATCACTCGCTCCATCACTCAAAACGTCCACACCCAGAGTCCTTGAGCCCCACTGGTGCCCCTCTGTCCCCTCCCCCGTGTCCAACTGCAAGTGCTCCAGGGTCTCACCTTGGCAAGTCATGAGAAACTCATCAGACCCTTGAGAATGGTGCCTGCCTGGGGCAGAAGCAAAAAACATATGTGAGCAATGAAAGATGTGGCTTGAGGAGCACTGTGGGCTGGGTGTGCTCCCCTCAGGCTCCCGTCCACGCTGCCACAGGGTCTTGGCGATCACCCCCACTACTCTGTGCACAGGGGAAGCCTGAATGTAGCTCTCCTCTCAAAAGTGGGCAGAAAATGTCCTGTGAGACGCCAAGTAGGAGGCAGATCCACGAGGGCCTAGAGGAACCCCAAATCCTGAACCCCACAAAAGTTTCTACAATGATCCAGGAGGCATATGACAAGGACACAAACAGGACATAGACCAAGCACCTCCTGGGAACCCGTCCTCAGCAGAGACCTTTCCCTGTGACCTGTGGCCAGGTGCCTTCACCCCAGACCTCTGGGCAAAAACAGTCCTCTTTTTCAGGTGTTTCTGAAGAGACCAACTGTAAGCACTCAGGACCCAGGCTGCATGAGTGTGTGTGCGGCTGCTGCTCCCAAGTAACAGGATAAGAGCCCGGAAAACGCCTACCTACCACCTGAAATCCGCCATCTGCCGTGAGAAAGTGCACACCTCACACTTCCTTACCTCTTCCCCACTCTCCTCCATATCACAACAATCACAGCTCCAGTGACCACAGCAACAAGGAGAATCGAGGCAGTAATGGCACCTTTGTTAGGGATGGTAGGGTCAGGAGGCGGCTCTGGGAAGAGAAGGGAAAAGAAGGTGAGGAGCCTGACCGCCAGCTCTGAGCTCTGACCTGCTGAGGGTCTCCACAATGGCTCCTACTTTCTTAAAGAAGTGGCCCTGTACCCATCTTCCCTTACCCCAGGTCAGGGTGCGGGGCTCAGGCAGCCCCTCATGCTGCACACGGCACGTGTAA